TTAAATAATTATTTTCTATTTCAATATATTTTAAAATGTAATTTATTCCTGTGATGCAAAGCTGAATTTTCAGCAATTATTACTCCAGTCTTCAGTGTCACATGATCCTTCAGAAATCATTCTAGGCTGTAATAATATTTGGTGCACAATAAATATTTCTTGTTATTATCAATGTTAATAACACTACTTAATATTTTTGTGGAAATCGTGATGAAAATCAAGTTCAAAAGAACTTCATTTATTTGAAATATACATTTTTTGTAACATTGTCAAAGTTCTGATGGTCAGTTTTGATCAATTTAATTCATCCTTGCTAAATGAAAAGTATTAATTTCTTTAAAATAAACTTAGTGTAATTAATAATATGGATAAAATATCTGGTTAATATACTAACCTTTTTCAAATGCGACAGCATACACTATTTCTTTGCACAGATTTAAATGCTTTCAGTAATATTAATGTTCCTCATCTATTAAATACATTGAATGCATTGAAAGGCAGAGTGTTCCATTTCGACAGGGCCTATATTTAAATCAATCAATAATTCAGTTTAATATATGATTCTTTCCCCAGGTGTGGTTCCAAAACAGACGGGCCAAATGGAGGAAAAGAGAGCGTTACGGGAAGATGCAAGAGGTGCGAAACCATTTTGCTGCTACATACGATATCTCCCTTCTCCCTCGCTCTGACTCATACCAGGTACACAAACACAGAACACAAAGAGAGCATAAGACAGAGCTTGAGAACAAAAATGTAGTTTTTGTCTAGTATTTCAACACACACAGGGGAGTTGCTTTGGTTTGACTGGAGGCAGTGCATATTATGATTTATATTTGTTGTCAGAAACACAGATTGAATTTCGTTTTATTTTTTTCTGTTGGTGTAATGCCATCAATCTTGCCATGTGGCACAGGCTAGCATTAAACATTTAATTTGTATATGTGTTAATTACATGTAAAAATATTTTTTAAATGATTTCAAAGTAACTATTTTTTTCAGATAACATGCAAACATTATCATCAATTTTAATACATATTAGAATAAGTCACTAATGTTTGTGTGTGTGTGTGTGTGTGTGTGTGTGTGTGTGTGTTTTTCTGTCCACACAGATGCAAAATAACCTATGGCCAAGCAGCGTGGGGATGGGAGGTGCAGGCGGAGTAGCCAGTAGTTGCGTTTTGGGAGTGGAAAACATGGCATCATCCTGTATGACCCCTTATCCCCATCCTCACGGGAACCTACCAGGGCTCATGGGTATGTCTGCATCTCCAGGCCATCATCATCATCATCATCACCCACCTCACCACCCTAGCATTAATGGGATATACTCACTCCATGGCTTCCCAGGAAGCCTGGGGGCCCATTCCTTTGAGCCCGGACCAGAGTCTGAATACAAGCCCTCAGGCCTGGTGGCCCTGCGCATGAAAACCAAAGACCCGGGGAGCCTGTTATCCTGGCCGACATGACCGTGCAGCTGCAACTGCGATTGTTTTGACATCACTGAGCCAACAAGTTAGCATGCCTGCACATACCGGCATGTTAGTGTTACTCGTAAACACACAACTGAAAGATACTTTCTTAATGCTCAATGTACATATCTCTTTTTTTTTTTTTGAAGGCTCCCAGATGTTTTTACTGCAAAGAAACATTTTATGCCTGGACTTTTTTGTGTTGATCTGTTTCCCTATGGAAGCATCTCATTTGTTTGTGTTTTTGTTGAAATTCTATGAGCCATGGGCTTTGCACACAACTTGCCTTAATATAAAATTCTTCCAGGGATACTTAAATTGTAAGAATTATGTAATATTAATTGCCAAACAGGATGTGCAACATGTTTATTTAAGTATGTTAATGTTAATCTCATAGTATCAGTGTATGCAGTGGTTTAGCCCCATATATGTAGCCCCAGTCAATAAATGATTTTACATTTTCCGACTTTGTGCATTCAAATACATCACCACTAAAAACAACAAAATACATTTGTGCTTCTGGTAAACCATGGCAGGAATTAAGCATCTCTGCATATAGATTGCATTTTGTGTTGCTGATTGCTTATTTTAATTAAGGATGCATGATATTTTGGTATCATATCGGTTATCATATTGACTGATATTGATACTGATATACTATTGACTATATTAAATATCAACTTGTACATGCTCATTTCTCAATTTTTTAGATTTAGATTAACTTAGCCATTATCTAACACTCACTTAAAGGTAATCTTTAAAAACTTAACACTGTTAAATGCAATCTTTAGAATACCCATTTTCATCCTGAACATTATAATGTTATGTTGCCCAGATGTACTTTCTGCATTTAAAATTATTAATTTTATTTTTTATTGTTTTATTTTTTATTTATTTAGACAAAATTGTACAGAATTTTAATACCATCATCCATGAAAATAATTATGATATTGACAAGATTTTTAATATTTTTAATAATATCCAGAATATGTAGTATAACATAGATAATTGTACAGGCTCAGGCAACTTTTGGATCCATTCAAACATCCCATGAAATTCTAATACAAAAAAATATTTAGTGTGCCGATTTATTAAGGCTAGTATAGATAAACGTTTACATGTAAGGTGAAACGTTTTGTATTTGAGAGAGTGCATGGCCATCTAATATGTAATTTTAAATGTATGTTTTGCTGTATGTAAAGGCTGTGGTATGTCACCCGATACATCTGCAGCATGTGACAGCCCTGCTAATACAAAACCACAAACCCCTCACTCTCAGACTAATGATGGATTCCAAGGTTTTTCCATCAACCTTAGGTCTGGGGTCTGACAGCTGGACAGAACCACAAAGCCTAATGAATTATGAATCAACTTACATGTTATGCTACTGTTTAATTCAAGGGTCTTGGACAAAAATCAAAACATTACTTGAAAAGCAATGCAGACTCCAGGTTTCTGAAGCTGACCAAGTGGTGGATGTATTGCATTATTTTTTTTTTGTATGGTTTGAAATGCACCTGGGCCTAAATAACTAGTTGAATCAGTCAAATTTAAATTCTGTCTGGTAAAAACTTATATAAAAAAAAAAAAAAAAAAAAAAATCATTTTTGAACATTCAATTCCTGTGACATTGACTTTATCAACAACTATGACACTCATTGGAACAGAACTTCTGAAGAACAACAGGCGTGCTAAATTCTGTTTCTAAGACAACTTAATATCATTATACAGTTGATCATGTTTGATGTGTTTTTGGAATCCCAATCCTGTGGGAAATAGCTGAAGTTAAAGTGTTCTGTTGATACAAGTGCCAAACAGCCTTGAGGAGAGCATTTCTGTGACCCAGCCATGGGTTATTCAGCTCCATCTGCATGCCAATCCTGCCAGCCACTCTTTCAGGGTGATTCACTTAATTTAGATGACACATAAGACAAAATTGTTCAAGATGAAAAAAACTGCAGTAACAGGATTTTCAAAGCTTCTCTCATTTTCCTAATTCTCAAAATGGAAACAGATCGACAGTTGCTTTGGGGCAAGCATTTCCTGCTGCTTCTTTCCTTTGTGCATCGAGGATGACAGAAACGCTGGATCACATTAAATGCCAGTTTAGCGAACCGTGCCGTGTTTTGGAGAGAGTTGACATGTGGTTCCAATAGAGGATAGAAAGGGAGGCTGACAGAAACTCCCCACACACCCACAGCTTCGAATTCCAGCCTGATCTTTCAAAAAAGTGGAGCCAGCTCCAGCTACACATGCAAACTGATTAAATCCCAGATTAAAGGATGTGATAAAGAAATACAGTTCAGGAATACAAGAGAAGCATTACTAAATAGATGTGAAGTACAATGAAACTAGCGGGATGACAAATGTACAAAGAGAGCGTATAGTGTGCTAAATGTTGTAGGCTGTGAAAGGACAGACACAAGATAAGTACACAACATTTTATAGATTTAGATTTAAGTTATTCAACTTTAAGTTGAGATGTGTGAAAAATATTGACCTGCAAAAGGAAAATTAGGCAGCTTTAAGTATGGAACGATATTCCGGACAATTTTCAAATAGAATAGCAAAGAGGCAGCCGCGCGCACCAACTCGCGCGGAGAGTCGCGCGCCCCGCTTCCCACAAACGAAAGTGAGTACAAAACTTTAAAAATCAGCGAGCTCGGCTCCCAGCTGAGCGACGAGGAAATCGAGGACGGCCTCTTTCACGAATTCAAAAAATTTGGCGACGTGAGTGTTAAAATCAGCCGAGTCAACGACGAGAGAATCGCATTCGTCAACTTTAGGAGACCGGATGATGCGAGAGCGGCAAAGCACGCGCGAGGCCGGCTGGTGCTCTACGACCGTCCTTTGAAAATTGAGGCAGTCTACTTGAATAGGAGGAGGAGTCGATCTCCCGTAGATAAGGACCATTTCTCTGTTGTAGCAGGCCATAGACATTTGCATACCCAGAGGCCGCTCTCTCCAACCGGTCTGGGTTACAGAGACTACCGGTTACAGCAGTTAGCGCTGGGTCGGCTCCCTCCTCCCCCACCCCCGCCTTTACCGAGAGAGCTTGAAAGAGAGAGAGAATTTGCCTTTTACGAAGCCAGGGCGCGGCCCGCGTACATCGCGGAGCGGGCCGCTCCTTTCCGCGAGGAGGACTTTATCTCTCCAGAGGACGACCAGAGAGCCAACCGCACACTATTTCTGGGTAATTTGGATATTACTGTGACTGAAAATGATTTGAGGAGAGCTTTTGAACGATTTGGGACCATCACAGAGGTGGACATTAAAAGACCAAGTCGGGGCCAGAGCAGCACCTATGGCTTTCTTAAATTTGAAAACTTGGACATGGCCCATAGAGCAAAAATTAGCATGTCTGGGAAAGTTGTGGGCCGAAACCCCATAAAGATTGGCTATGGCAAAGCCACCCCCACCACACGCTTATGGGTGGGTGGTCTTGGACCTTGGGTGCCTCTGACTGCGTTAGCCAGGGAATTTGACCGCTTCGGCACTATCAGGACTATAGACTACAGAAAAGGGGACACGTGGGCTTATATTCAGTATGAAAGCCTGGATGCCGCTCAGGCAGCCTGCACACACATGCGTGGATTTCCCCTCGGGGGTCCCGACAGGAGGCTGAGGGTGGACTTTGCTGACACGGAGCACCGCTACCAGCAGCAGTTCTTGCAGCCCCTCCCTTTGCAACACTATGAAATCGTGGCTGAGTCTTTTGTCCATCGCGCCACCCCTGAGGCCATCAGGGTCCGAGAACGAACTCCCCCACCACTGCACTTCAGAGAACGAGAACTGTATGCTGGGGCTGAATGGCCTGTGCCTGCCATTCGTGAACGTGTACGAACGCCTGCATTTGAGCCCCTCGAACACTTGGAGCACGAGCGACGGCGAGAGGCGTGGTCACTGGAGCGGGAGCTGCCAGGCAGGGATGCAGCACGCAAGCGACGGCTCATGGAGGATGGGAGACATCTGGAGTGTTCACCTGACAGCAGCAGCGAGTGGGCGGCCCGACGTCGCAGACCGCCATCCCTTGAGGGCAGCCCAGGAGGGAGCAGTCGAGATGGACGATTCAGTGACTCTGAGCGGCCAGCGAGAGCAGACCGTGTGTCCCCTGCACGAGAGAGCCACAGCAGCCTGGACAGAGCCCCTGGTGAAAAGCGCATCAAAAGCAGTAGCACTCTCTCAGAGTCTAGTGTCGGCGCGAGTCCTGCGGAGAGAAAGCGCAAAGCGGGCGATTCAGCCAAAGGTGCCTCCAAGAGAGACCGATCTGAGAGCAGCTCCAAAAGCAGCCAGGCTTCAAAGCAGGATGCAGGGGGGAAGCTGAGCATGGCCTGGAATGGCATGCTGCTCCTAAAAAACAGTAATTTCCCAGCCAGCATGCACCTTCTGGAGGGGGACCTGAGCATTGCCAACAGTCTCCTCATCGACGGCAGCACGGGCGGTAAAGTCACACAACTACGCATCACACAACGCCTTCGCCTTGACCAGCCCAAGATCGATGAAGTATCTCGGCGCATCAAAGTTGCAGGCCCAGGCGGGTATGCGGTTCTACTGGCGGTTCCGGGCAGCTCCGAGGAGACTTCGTCTTCGGACCCAGCAGCATCGACGCAGAGGCCCCTGCGCAACTTAGTTTCGTACCTGAAGCAAAAGCAGGCTGCCGGGGTCATCAGTTTACCCGTCGGGGGCAGTAGAGATAAGGACAACACTGGGGTCCTGCATGCATTTCCACCATGTGATTTCTCTCAGCAGTTCTTAGATTCTTCTGCGAAAGCTCTTGCCAAAACGGAAGAGGACTTCCTGGTCATGATCATTGTGCGAGGAGCATCTTAACAATCATAATACACACAAAGAGTTGTTAAATGCAAGCTTCACTTAATGTCTCTTAATTGCATGCTCTCTAAAGCAGACGTGGTACTAGAGTAATGAGCAAATGTTATTACCTGCTCTGCCAAACGTACAAAAAAAAAAAAAAACATGAAAAAGCCCCATTCGTATAGCAAAGTCTAGCTCTATAGCAATATATTTGTTTTCATTTGCAATTTATTCAGTGGTCTAGTTTGTGATAAGTTGTACCCTGCTTAAAAGATTGAATGATGTTGGGAATATTAGAATAGGAATTTAATTTGCTGTTGGTCATTAAATGCTGTCTAGTTCCAACACTTCCTATCAACATGTATTTCAGGCAGATTCCAGACAGTCATCCCTGTACGAAATCTTTTTTGTGAATGTTCATTCATGTTCATGATTATCAATTAATCTGATTTAATGGGAACCTGGTTTATGTGTCTTGATGCTTTGAACAATCATTCACTAATGGGGAGTGTAATATAGGTATATAGTTCTGTAGGTCACTAAAACAGGCAGAATATTTTGCTCCGTGAACTGCATGTTGATGCTAGTGTTGTACAGTAAGCCGTTGCAGAGGTTTAATATATGTAGCCAAAAAAATTTCATCAGTGTTATATCGATTGATACAGGCTGAATTTTAACACCCCTTTATCACATAAAAAAATAATTTGTGAACCTATTTTGATTATAAACTTAGATATTTGTAAGCCCTCCTTAGACCAAAGCATAACATCAAGCATTCAGTTTGTGTTTAAAGAAGAAAAAGTTGTTCTGACATACTGTTTTCATGTTTTTGGGTTACATTTGAAAGGTTTTGAATGAAGCATAATTCTGTTTTCAAAATGGGCAAGTGTGAAATGTCTGAGTTTAAATTATGATGGGTCTCAAATAATTAATTTGATTAATTAACAGTGGTTTTAATTCATTTTTCCCCCATAGGACTGTCATAATTTCCCAGGTAAAACCTATTTACAGTGATATTGTTAATGATATTCTTATGAAGGTCTCTTTATAAAGATAAAGACAAAAAAGGTGCATTTGCTATAAAAACTGACTTTTCAGATCATCAATGTAAAGTGATGTAGCCTATAATGTGATATTGTCATAATCATCCATAATTTGCTAGATATGCCATGTGAATAGCACTAAGAAATTAAGGTGTATGGGTAATTTAAAGAAATCAAGCCCACATATTTGTACAAAAAACTTGACTTGATGCCCTAACGATTTAGTTCTTGTGCAGCTGTAAGACAGTCCTACGTTTTATTTCATTGACACTTTTAGTTGACAATATAGACATACATTTAAGTATGTTTTTAGTTGAACAGCCATTTATGTTTGAAATATTACACAATGTTGTGGTTCTTAGGTGTGTCATTGTTTGAATGGTTTTAAAATGACAGTCCACAATTTTCTCTAAAATCCTGAAGAAGTAGAAATTTGTGTTCTTAGTCTGTTTAGCTAATTGCAGTGTACTGATCTGATGCATAACTAACATCTTTTCATGTATGACTTTTCACACTAAATTGTGTTTTAAAAGTTGATTGCTTGGTGATTTCATAATATAACAGCTGTTTGTGTACTTGAATAAATGGACATACTGTACGTTCAGTCTCGGCCACACACACGACAGGACAGGAAATGGACCGTTCCACAAGTGGACTTCACATGGCTGGAAGCAGAAATGATTGTTTGAAATTATTCAGGAGCCCTTTGGATGCACAGGGGCAAGAGCTTTCCGTTTAGTGTTAGTGTACTCTCACTGAGAGCATCTTCCTGCTTGTGTAATTGTTTTTTTTTTTTTTTGTGCTTACAGTTCCCGTATTTAAACGGAAATAATGACACTCTTGATTTGTGCTGTCTATACCTAATTTCTTGATTGGGGGAGAAAGAGGAAGCGGTCACTCACTCCTTGCACAGCTCTTGACGTGGCTGTTTGTACACACAAAAAGTGCACTGGCCCCTCATTTGATTATATCACGCTATCAATAAATTGTTTCATTTGAGGGAGAAAATGTTTATTCGTTGGAAATCAATTGAAGAACGCCTGCCGCTGCTTTTTTCGGTTGTGTTTCGGGAGGAATTGTTGCTCGATTGCTTGTTTCTGCTCAGGAAAGAAATTCTCCTCCTTTGTGTTCGGCCCGGGATCAGTCATGGCAGTGAGAGCAAAGGGCGAGAGCTCTTTTGAGGCTCGATGTTGTTGTTGATCTGGGTTTTCCACCCTTGTGTCCTGGAGTTGCCCCACATGCTAAGTAACCTGAGGGTGCTGCTGCCCCCAACCCTCAAACAGATCAGAGAGAAGGGGGCCGTTCTTCTGAGCTTTGAGAATGAGTGGAGAGATGATGTTTGCGCAGACCTTCACCTAAACTGAAGTCTCTGTTTCAGCACCTTCGCTGGGGTCTTTCGATTCTCACAGGCATGGCGGCTGCTTCCTTTATGTGTCCTTCATCTGGAAGTATCCAGGCTTGCTGTAACCTGTCCGGCCGTACTGTGCGTTTGCCAGCACAACTGCCAGCGCGATAGAGGCCCTGAATGAACCTCGAATCAGTGATTTCCAATTCAGAGGAGCAGGCGTTTGTTTATCCCATCCTTTGATTTCATCTGATATGATTTTGTTTCGCTCCATTGAAAATCAGTGAAGGAAGAGGATTTAGAAAAGCCAAAAGCGTTTTTAGCCTTCGAAATGGTGTCTGACTCGAATCGAGTTTTGATAGTTTTGTTTTCTTAAACGTTTATTTTCCCAAAGAGAAAATGATTATCGGTACGTGGTAAATTGACCCTTCGTTTTGAAGAACCCCTGAAAGAAAACATGCTGCCAGTGTGAACTCCTCCCAAAGTTAACATGGAGTTTGCTTGCGAGGAGCCTCATCAGGAGGAAGAAAATTAACTTCCATTAGTAAGATGTCCGATCAGCTACATCACTTCACCAGCAGCTCATTCAGGCCTCTGACGTGAGGATCCAGACCAGTCCTCTGGTGTGGGTGGTGAGTAGGGAGTATTTAATTTATACCAGGTCTTTAGACTTTAGAAGTCTACCTGGTGCAGGTAAGTGTCACTTCCGCAAATAGAACACTGCCATTGGTTGTAACTGACATCTTGGGCTGTAGTTTCCAAAACCTTATTTATTTGTTTCTTCTGGGAAAAAAAAGAAAAATGCAGAAATATATGTAATATTTTAAGTAGGAGATTGTTGTGCTTGTGATTTTACACAAATAATTTTGCAATGATAAAATTGTTAAAACACCAGTTCACCCAAAAATGAAAGTCATGTTCATAATTTATTCACTCTGTTGTTCTAAACCTGTATGACTTTCTTCTATTTTGAAAAATGTTAAATGTATGTTTTTTCCTCCATAATATAAATATATGGGCAAAAATAGTCGAAACATTCTTCAAAATATCTTTTTGTGTTCCACAGAATAAAGTCACATATGTTTGGAATGACATGAGGGTTAGTAAATGATGACAGAATTTTAATTTTAGGGTGAGCTATCTCTTTTAAGTTGAGAATATTACATTTGTTGTATTTTTAAATGTAGCTAAACCATTAACCTGTTATTCACACATAAAAAAATTAATTGGTAGTATTCCTTAGAATAGATCATCAAACGAGTTCAACTGTCTACTTCATTCAGATCATTCAAACACTTCTAATGACAGTAAGCAACACAAACCCCCCAAAACTCTAATTTAAGATAATAATTAAAAGTCTTCAAAATAAGGTCATAGGTGTTTTTTCATTTTAATTTTGGTTATAAAATATTGGAGATAGCTTTTACTAGATCTAAAACAACAACATTTACAATTTACATACAAAATTTAACACAATCCCACACTTCCTTTTAGCCTGTGTAGTGGCATAGAGCTCTTCATTCCAATTAAAGCCTCAGTACATGTACTTTTAGCGTTTTAGTCAGCCTTCTAATCCTTACAGTTAATTAGCTTCTAAGTTCTGTTCATTTGAATTGTAACGTTGTAAAAAGTTAAGTTGTGATGATTTTTTAGAACCTTGGGAACATAATTGACTGTGACTGTCAATGTTAGGGTCTCCTAGGTTCCAACTGAATTGTCTTAGCATTTTGTCCTAATGATAGAAAGAAACAGAACAAAAATGATTAGATGAATGTAGAAAATCATAGAACTGATAATTTAGCTCTGCAGTAAACCTCATTGATTATAGACAGGCTCAACCAGAGGCTTATTGTGGGAGGGTGTTGAATTTCTTAGTTTAAATTATGATGGGTGTCCAAAAGTTATGATTGCATAAGGTTGTTTTTCTTTTTCTTTCTGCTTCTTGGGACTGTTAGAATTTCCTCTTTTACACTGATATTGTTAATACTGGTATACATGTGGTCACTTTATAAAGATAAAGACAAACAAGAATTTTCTATACAAACATAGATTTCTGCTTATGAACATGTATAGAATTTACATTTAGAAAGGTATTTAAAAAAATTGATGGTCTATTCAAATTTCACAGTACAATTAAAGAAACATTGGTTTTTATTTTATGTTTTGCCTGTATGGCTGTTGGCATGTCTCATTTTAAAGGCTGCGCCATCTGAAGGCCACATTTATCAGCCACATACGTCATTGAGGCTGCCTTATTTCAGAAAAGTAACCATTACATTCCAAATTAAAAGAGAAATTACAATAATTCATGCCTCACGGGGAATAACAGTTAATTTTATAATTACTTTTCTGAACTGAGACATCCTTGATGACGTAGGTGGCTGACAAATGCGACTTCATGAGGGTGCAGCCTTTGAAATGAGACAGCTTTCATAATGAGTACAGATGTGACGCATAGTTTGACCAAAATCTGCTCACTGCAAAAAGGTTTGGGCACTGGCTAACGTTAAAATCCATTTGCATTAACATATAACTGAAACAATTGTGATAATTCATTTCTATAACATTTTACTACTTCGTTTTCAGTTACACATTGTCAGAATAACGTGTCAGTGATGATAGTAATAACCAGCTGTCTCGGTCTCTAATGTTTCCTCCTGTATCTTTACCACAGTTCTGACTGACTGGCTTGTCTTCAGATGCTTTGGAATGGGCCTGGTAACTTGGTAACCGTAGGTCTCCATGGTAACATTCAAGCCTGTCCTCTGGCCTCATTTACATCATCTCTTTGTGTAGTTCAGGCACTGTTCCCTTCCCACTTTCCCAAGTAATGAAAAGAGCATATTCAGTCTGACAGTCCAAAACATTAGCTCATTGTTCCTGGTTGTAGCTTAGTTCTCTGCATAAGCGACCACATGATGACTATAAGCTATTTTAGGCCTCACAATAGGCTTTCTACCCTCTGATCTTACTAGGAATGAATGAATGCTTATTGGAAACTCGAGGTAAATGCACAAACTGAATGCAGTCAGACTTTGCTCTGTAAAGAGTTAATTCTGAGCTTATACCTGTACTATTATGTGTGACAGTCATTCCCAGTGTGCAATTGATGTTGAAAAGACATCAAATTGACATAAAAAAAAAAAAAAACAGGTCGAATATGCAAATCAAACAGACGTCAAAGCTTGACATGACATTGATTAGATGTAAATTGAACATATACATTAACATATGCATTAAACCAATTAACAGTGTGGGATTAACTTCCTATTTTCACCCAATTACCACTGGAATAAATTTGCTGTCCATACTGAATTTAAAATGACGTTACAGCATCTTGATCAAGTCTTGAGTAATGTTTGACATCAAATTGATATCAAGGGGCCCGGTGGTTATAGAGGAGACTGATGATTGTGTTCAAACTCAAAAAATCTGTTTACAACCGTCAGCTATTAATGTTATAGGTGACCTATCTGCTGTCTGTTATCACCTGATTTTAACACCAACAGCCACTTTATAGTGAGAATATAATATATGCTGACATTTTTTTAACCAATGTTCTGTTTTGAATCTGTTTCAGGTGGACAGATCTGAGTATCTGCCGAGTAATGAATGCACAGTTGTCTTCAGATGAAACTTAAGACGGTTTGTTATTGATTAAAAGCCTTTGTTACCTACAGCTGAACAAGCATATTTATTAATTTTATAATGCATGTGATTTGAGATATTCTACACTTTTTTTTTATGTGCTGTTGTGTCCACAGAACATCAGTGTTGCACTGTGGGCATCTATTCATCAATAAATTAAACATGAAAATAGTGCAGTATCTCCTCTTGGCAAAAATGTCTGTAAGTACCAGCGCATTTTTAAGCTAAGCAGTCATTTTGGTTGAAATATTTTAGAATAAGTAGGTTTATATTTACCATTGCTGTGTGCTACATGCAGTGTTCTTAATAAAGATATCTGTTACACCACTGTGCAATATTTTGATGTTACTCATGAAAAGAATGAATGTGTGATTTTAAATGACAACAAATCTTAATATGAAAATGCTTTTTTTTTTTCATGCACTAATATTATACACTAATAATAATCAATCAATGGTCAATGGACTTCAGACAGTGCTGTTTCAAAGATTATATTATCTATTTTCTGTTTTGCAGATAAACTATTTTCTTTTATATTTTCCTCATAATTTACATAAAATCTCCCAGTGATTAACAAATGTTTTACAGGAAACCCAGTGGCTGTCAAATGTACTGCTGGCTTTAATCACAGTCTTGTAGATCTTGACAATTGTGAACATTGTCAACAAAACAAATAATAAAAAAAATAACACTCAGGCTAGCATCATGTTATGACAATTTTCCACAAGTACAAAATCACTAACAGTACAGTATAAATGGTGAAGTCTGTCAGTGACATTAATAGTGTTATTCTGTCCCCTTAACTGTCTTTAAGGCTAGATTTAGAGTTCAAAACAATTTATAGAAATTTTCCAAAACACCAACCCATGTCTCAAAAAAAAAAACTGCTTTCATTAAACAATTGAGTGATAAAGAAAAGCTTGCTGTCCAAAAGAAGGAGAAAATAAAAGATTCCAGTGGGCAATGATTTGAAGATTTCAGTGACCTACAGTTCTTATCTCTGTGCTAATATTTTAAATTGTTGCATTTGTGTGTGTCTTGCTCATTACTTGGCTGATGAAAGAAAATAATTGGACATTCCAGAACATGAACTGCCTGTTAATTGCTACAACGTTCCAGTAGCAGTAATCATTTTTGCCACTAGAGGGCAACAGCTCATGCAGAACTACATTACTAGGGAGAACTACTACAGATTGCTATCAACACAGGACATGTTCAAATGCATAGATTGATCAATTATATTTCTATTGCATCTTTGGCTTTCATCACAGGATATTTAGAACCGTCATTGTGTACAAAGGCAAACAGAGGTTATAAACAGTGCACTGTAGTAGATCAACAAAATCAAAACCTAAAAATAAAAAATGACAAAAGTAAAAAAGGATTTGCACTTTAGAGAAACACTCAATGTAAATGCTCAATGTCTGGGCCTCTTGGACAGGTACACATAAACCCACAAGCCAACTGACCTAATTCTTGCAAATCTTGGCATCAGAAGAATATTCACTTGTATTCACACAGCGGTTTGTTCCCAAAAAAAACAAAATCTCTTGGTTGTCAGCAGTAAATGACAGTGTGACTGATTTGGCAACAGTGAGAGAAATAAAAAATATCCTAGTCTGGAATATCCTGGTCCAAAATGTCTTCCAATTGAGGCACCAATGACAAAATCTGTTGATGACACAGCCATTACGGCCTTCTGCAGTCCTTTACACAGTACTGAGCTTCATAGCAAAAACACATCTACAGACACGAACACACATTGAAGGATCAAAAAGGAGGCTCACAGAGTCTTGATAGGCTTATTGCATAGACCCATCACCATCTGACAAAATACTCTTATTTCAGTACTAGTATATTTGTCTGAGTAAAATGTGTCCTGTGATACAAATTTACCATCATATCGGTGGAAGCATCTGAGTAACTTTCTAATGTAGGAAGATCAAGATTCATCATGTGCATCACATCATGTGCTGTAACATAAAAGCTTATGTGGGTGACAAAGACTCCTCATTTTGTTCTTGTGCTGATCTGATTTCCATTAAAGATGGCGGTGAGAGAAGCTTACTATTTATTTCTATGAATTTATATAAAAACAAAATCCATTCTCATGCACCCACTAACAAAATAGTTTGCATTGTACTATCCTGAAGCATTAACTTATTGGTCTCTGCATTCAAACGAACGTTCATTTGCTTGCCACGCTGTGGTCCCGCCAAATGTTCAGGTTAGGTCCTCTTCCGACCAGCCTTCAGAGGGTGAACCACATGATATGGTGGAAAGTAAAATGGCTTTAAGTTCATTCCTTTATTATACAACACCATTCCTCTGAGGCGCCGGGCAGAAACAGCCATTACTCCACATCAGTTCTTGGTTTAGCATCTCTAGCCGCTTCTTTCGGGCTTGCCAGCGCCTCGCCAGAGGCTCAAGGAAAAGAGAAACTGATGATAACAGATAACACACACCTGCCAGGTAGAAGGAGCAGTCATAGGTCTGAGTGTAGTCGTACAGGAAGCCTTTGGGACGAAACGCAATATTAAACTGTTGACAGATGGAAAGATTTCTTTAAATAGTCAATGGAAGTCAATGAAGAAAACAATGAAGAAAACATCTTTACATTCTACATTTTGTATTTCCTTTGCACAATATACTTGAGAACGGTCAGTAACCTGACACTTAAGATGATGGACTGATGGAGAAAACTTTATTCACTTTCCACCCCAGAATCTCCCCACACCTGTTTTCTGACTAGATATGCTTTTAAAACCACAGCTCGTTTTCACTATGCAAGCAGCCCCGGGTCACATCCAGAAAGGCCTTGGGTAGGATAGAAAAATCAGTTTTGCTTCCCTGGCTGCTCATTATTTTTGGGGGGCGGGGGATTGTGGAAGGGGGCCCTGACAAGATGGTTCATGTTAGCATAACAGTGTTACAGAGTTCAGGGCAAGGTCTGTACTCGCCTTCCTGAGGAGGCCCCTCTTCAAGACTTGAATTTCCTAGAACTGTACTTCGCTGTAGTACTGTTCCGCATAAGGAGATTCTGTATTTGTGTTGATGACTGAATTTTGTTAATAAATAGCAGCAAATAAATATATCTGTTCTATAATCCTGAAAGTAGCCTAATGGAATTTGTTTAGCAATACATTATAATGAAAAGGAGCCATATACTGTATACTGTATATTAGGAGAACTAAATAAGATAACCAGACAGGTAATCCTATTTTTAGATGAGTTAACATGTCTTCCATCTGTAACCCACTTAAACAGAAAAATGAAACTGTACAATCTCAGTGTCCCTTAAGCCACACACACACACAGAAGCAAGCTTGTCTTACACATGATCATGTTCAGCCAAGTCTTTCCAAAGCTGCTGGTTATTTTTGTGAGACATCAAGGCCACATTTACCTACTGATGTTTATGATTCCATGATCTAGTCAAGGAGTTCATCCAAACTCCACATACCTGCCAGAGGAGGACCTGTGAGACAGCCAAGCCCCACAAAGAACATTGAAAACCCCATCGAGTTGTTCAGCTTTTCAGAACCCACCAAGTCCACCTGGAAAACACAGACAGGGAAATGAATAATATTTATGACAGATGATATATATCAGATAATGACTTCTCTTACTAGGCCAGCATTTTTTTTTGATATAGAGTATAGACAAGGCTTCATCATTAAAGAAAAAGTTGTTTTTAAATGCCATATTCTTATCAAATGTATTAATAATTCATCATATATATATATATATATATATATATATTCATTCACCAGGATGCTTTGATGAATAAAAAGTAACAATGTAAACTAATTTTATAACGATGCAAAACTGTTTATGACAATAAATAATTTTTAATGCATCTAAATTGAATGCATCTTTGCTGAAAAAAATAAAACAAAAATCTTACTGACCCCAAACTTTTGAACGGTAGTGCATATATTTCATACATTTTCATACTTTTTTTTAGCACCATGCAGTATGAAAAACCATTTGCTTTACTACAGTAATTCTCAATCAAATTTACTCATATTTACTCATAATAGAACAGTTGAGTTGCATATTACAATCGGACAAGCAATGACATTGTGTTGATGCAAATTTTATTTTTAATTGCTTTCTTGAGGTTCAGGGACTTCACAAATGATCAATATTTGATTAGTCTCTTAGTTCACCAAAAATGAAAATTCTGCTATTATTTACTCACCCTCAAGTTGTTCCAAACGTGTACGAGTTTCTTTCTTCTTTTGAACATAAAAGAACAGTTGTTGGTCCTCACTGACTTCCATAGTATGGGAAAAAATACAATGGAGACTAGAACAATTTGGTAACCTACATTCTCCAAAATATCTTCTTTTGTGTTCAGCAGAAGAAAGGCATTCATACAGGTTTGGAACAACTTGGGTGAGTACATGACAACAGAATTTGCTGAATTTTTGGGTAAACTATCCTTTATTTAATGTCTATACATGTTAGCAACAGACTGTTTTCCCCCAGGGGCCTTTTAGGCACTAATACTGTCTATCTGGTTCAGAGTGATTCCATAGGTTGTAAAAAATATTTGAAAGGTAAAACCGAAGATTCCTTCCAAAGGAACGGGTGTACTGCAGTGCCGACTGTCAATCTAGCCCTCTCTCCTTACACTGCCCTCTGCAGTATTACAGCACAAGAACTCAATGACTCAGAACTAGAAAGAAGACCTTTCCATGAGCACATATAATACGAGTGAAGGAAACGGCATTAGATGTCCCCACCCTGCCGGTCCACACACATATTTTTAATGAACAGAACTGAGCTCATATATACAGCTGCTGGTAACATTGCCAACATTGAAAGTGCCAAAACAATTAAACAAAGACAACTGACATTTCAATTTTAAACTTAACTAAATTATAGTATATTATCTATATATATATATATATATATACACACACATTTATACATAATCGTTATAAGACTGCTATGAAGAATGCTTTACTATGCCAATGGCACATGCACAGTCCTGCCAGTACTCACCAGTACAGGAAGTAGGAGAGCCATGTACCCCCCACAGAAGATGGCAAAGAAGACAGCGTAGACCATGAGCAAGATGTATGAGGTGGCCAGAGGGGAGAGAAGATTGACCACACCACACAGGATCAGGTAGGCCTTATGGTAGTGATATTTGTGAACCAGATTCCTGTCTGTCACCCAGCCAGATGCAAGTTGGGCCACCGTCTCTGTTATACCTGTGAGACAGAAAAGCTGTTGAACTGATGGACTGAAAATGGGCCACTTAGTGTTGCATTCTTCCAAGGTTTCATCCTTATACAGTATTGCAGTCTTATTTTAATATCATGTAATGTTGTTCCAAACCTGTTTGACCTCTCTTGAACATGTAAATGAGGACTGTCAAGATTCAAAATAACAAAAAAACACCATAAAAGCATTATGAAGGTGATCTAAATGTCTTATGTAGTATATTACATTAAAGCCATTTTTTAGCTTTGCGTGAAAAGCAGAATTTCCCAAATTTCCAAAATGAAGCCACTATCATACACTAAAAAATGACCGTGAATTTAATGGTAAAAGACTGTAAAAATGCTATTTTTTACGGTAAAATTCTGGCAACCACAGCTGCCGTTTTTTTTACCGTAAATTTTACGGAATTTTTTTTACAGTGTACTACAACATCTCCTTACAATGCCTGCACACCTTAAACACACTGTACCTCTGTTTCTCCCAAAATGGAGAGGTTTTGTTCAGTATTAGTCAGTAAATTGAAAAAAGAAAGAAAAAAAATAATAATAAAAATAAACAACAACATATTTTACTTATTTGAAAAGGTAAGTCACTACAGTTCAAAAGTTTGGGGTCGGTTTTTATTTTATTTTATTTATTTTTTATGTTTTTTTTTTTAACATAATGAATACTTCTATTTAGCAAGGACACATTACATTGATCAATAGTGACAGTGACTTTTATAATGTTACAAAATATTTCAAATAATGCTGTTCTACTGAACTTTCTATTCATCCTAAAAAAAAAAAAAAGAATCCTAAAAAATGTATCTTGACTTTCACAAAAATATTAAGCAGCAAAAACCAATAAGAAAAGTTTCAGCAAATCTGCATATTAGAATGAGTTCTGAAAGATCATGTGACACTGAAGACTGGAGTAATGGCTGCTGAACTTTTTACCTTTATCATCACAGGAATAAATTAGATTTTAAAATATATTCAAATAGAAAACAGTTGTTTTAAATTGTAATACTATTTCACAATATTAATGTTTTACTGTATTTTGAATCAAATAAATGCAGCCTGGGTGAGCATAAGGGACTTCTTTAAAAAAAAAAAAACCTTACTGACCCCAAACTTTTGAACTAAATGTACATGGTATAAATTTAACAAACATGAAAAACCGCTGCATACTTTCAGTTAACTGACTTTTCGCTTGAAGCCTCTAGCGCAATCTGTTTCCAGTTCAAAGAGTGACAGAAGAGGAGCAGAAGTAATGATAACAGACTAGTCATTTTGTGGTGTGCTGTACAAAGCGTTCAGTACTGGTTTGTTTTTGCTGTTGTCTGTGCTGCAGTTGTGTGTCTGTGTGCTGCAGAGCTTTATTGAACAGTCTAGGAAAAGACCTGAGGCAGACCTATTGCAAATTCATACATACACAACAGATCCAAAGTGTGACACTCTCTGCTGACATGCAGGCTGTCACGGTCTACTGAATAGGCCTACATAAAAATGCACATACATACTTTATACATGAGTTCTTATTTAATCTGTAATTCGTTTATAACCTATTAAATCACATACTGAATGTTTACACAAAACACAGAGGTGCTGACATGATCTACCAAATGGACCAGCTCATGTACTTTAGAACGAAGGACTTGAACCGATGATGTTCGTGCACATGTGGAGTCATTTATTGCTGGCCAGACATAAAACAAAACAGCTGCTCAATGTTTGCATGTCCTCGGTGCGCCACTAAAGGTGACGTCCTGGTGTGCCCCGCTTGGACCCAAAGACATTTTGCGCGTTGTTTGTGTGTTTAAATCCCAGCAGGGCCATTGAGTTTCACAGCTGTTCCTGTCATGCTTTGCACAATGAAACTTCAATACAGAATCTCAGTGACAAAAAGTAGCAAACGTCTTTAAATGGAGGTTCCTAGTCCACAAAACTGTGTAGTGTATAGGGGGACTTTTACCAGGGTAATCGGGCATGTGACAGGTGTTTGTGTCTTTGTGTACTTCACTCAGTGGACACAAAAAGACTGGACGAATGCAATGTCCCCACTACATTAAAGACGGACAATAGGCCCTCACTGAGGTACAGATCGCCCAAATGCATGTCTGATCGCTACCGGCTCATTAAAACACAAAGCATGTTTGGCTCATCTCCTCACTCTCTTTTGTCCGCATTGCTGCATCTGTGGCGCGCCACACAATGTCAGCCACTTCAGAACTGGGCACTGAACTACCAAGCCTCACGGCAGCTACTTGGGCTGTTGCTTAGCGACTTCCCTCGGCTCGCAAACAGTGAGTGACCTGCCACGAGGAGCCTGAGCTTTAGTTCCCTGCTCACCCTATCCGATGTGAAAACAGCTTTCAAGCGCAGGTGGAGGGGGTGGGGGAAAGGAGACATTTGGAATATCAGGGTTGTCTCAGTTTGTGCGCTTATGCACTATTATAAGACATTTAGTAGTATATTCACACTGAAAATTCCAAAAAGAAAAAGTGTACTTCAAATATCCGGATGATGCACTTAATTAACAAGAAAAAAAAAAGTGTGGAATGTTGGACACTTCATTCACTCAACTATTGCAGTTTTCTTTACATACCGGAATGGGAGGGGCTATCAGACTGATGCTGGATGACAAAATGATCTTATAAAGTTCATACACTAGACAATAAAGTGCATAATATAAGTGCTTATTTTAAATCAGTCCACCACTGAATTGGCTTGACCTAAAAATGATACTATTGTAATTATAGCTGCTTTACAGCAGAATCTGAATTTGTCTCATATTTAAATTTACATAATTGATCAATTTTTTCCTGTTTATTATTGTGAAGCTGCTTTGAAACCATCTGTATTATATAATGTGCTACATAAATAAAGGTGACTTGTCATAGTGTATCGAAGACCATCAAAAAACTAGAAAAACAAATAAAATACGGGGGACTCAAAACCCGCTGTGAATAAGTGATGCTAAACCTACAAAACTACACTTTTCTGAGCCATTATTTCACTGATTTATGAATTTAAATGCTTTTTGCTTGTGCTTTTTAAAAAATATTTATTATATAATTCAGAGACATGGACATTTTTAAGTGTGACTCCAAAAGATGACTTTTTGGGTCACTATATAAAGTAGAGATGTACGATAGTGTTTTATTTTAAATTTATTTTGATAAAATAGTTCATCATTTCATTAATGGTCATTTATCAGTTATCAGCCATAACATGAAAATAACAGCTCATCACATCGGTCAGAATTTCAATAACATTCTCAAGTGCATTCTCAATCCTAATATAAAGCAAGAAATTTAAGTAAATTGCATGGGGTATAATATAAAATCTTTACATAGGGACTGACACATTAAAAATAACAATAGACATGTTGCAAATAGAGCCTTTATCAGGGTGTGTATTGCAGTAAACAATTGGGTCAATAGGGTGTCACATGTTTCCTACATAACCAGACAACATGTTGGTTGTGATTTTCATTTGAAAAAGTTTTCTTTTTAATAAAAGCTTTTTAATGTTATACCTAAAATAAGTTTGAGTAAACATATTCACACTCTCTTTCATTCACTGTGGCATTATTGATAGGACACTTACAAGCCCTCTGGTTTTAGCCACTATGCCAAAGTTAATTTTTTATGTAAGAGCACTCATTGCATAACACTGCAGAATTTAAACTGCTCACAAATAATTAATGTGAAGTTGGCTGCCTTTTTGCATCAACCCTTAAAAGCCCATATTAGGGTACAACTTGCTGCAAAGCACAATGTTCATAGTGCATCTATCAGGTATGGCTTTATGGCTTTCCTGGAATACATCCCTGATGAAGCCAGAAAAAAAACCCAGCTTCGCTAATGACACGCTGTCCGCTAGCACTGTCATTATATGGCCTTTTGTCTCTCCATTTTCCACAGCATAGCTCAGTAGTGCTTATGTCCTATTGATTTCCTCTACTGTTACACATTATTAGTGTACATTTGAACTGTTGCAGCCAGAGAACAGCAGTAACAAAGATGCTGACTAGAGGACTTGTTTATGTTTTATTTTTTTTGCAATAGGTAACTTTTGAATTTATATCATCTTATAACCTTTGTCACAAACTCTTTATCTATAATATCCTTGCTAATGCAAAACAAATTCTGTAAAAGCACTTAATACTTAAAATAGATGACGGTGGAAAAGCAAGACTCTAGGGTTACTTAGGTTGATCAAAGGTAATATGACTCACCAGCCACAGAGATGATAAAGGAAGCATACATAGGGTCGATGCCCAGGTTCCGGGCCCTTGCAGACAAATGGAAGTAAGGTATAAAATATGCCAGCTGACTGAAGACCAGCGACCAGGTGTAGATGCAAAAGAAAGGGTTCTTCAACAGTGAGAAGTCCAGCACTTTTTTGGGGTTTTCAGGAAGATTTTCTGTTCTGCTGTTCTCAAGTAACGAATCCACAGGAGAAACCCCATTCATCTCGGGGAAAGTTTTACTTTGGTTGCCGTCTGTACCGTTCACCCCATTCTGGATGGATTTTTTGAGTTCCAGATGTGGAAGAGTGTTCTGTTCATGAACGGGGTTCTCTATTATAAGTGTGTCCCTGTGAATGGGAGGTGAGCTGTCCATTTTGGAAGTGCTATTGGACATAGAGGTGTTGCCATTCATATGGTTCTTAAGAGGTTCTTTCTCAGATCCAGCTTTATGAAGGGTGTTGTTTGACATGGGTGAAGCTGGAGGTCTAATGTTAATGGGCCGCAAAAGCATCCCAGAAGCCACCAGGTTCAGCATCAGACCTCCCAAAATCAACAGTGCTCCTAAAGACAGAACAGAAATCAGTGTCAAAATAATATTTTAACACAAACTGCTTCACTACTTGTTTTCTTGTCAATAATTTCATTCTTTTAATCTGCATTTTTCTATTCACTATGATACCAGGACAGTTGTATAATCCTGACATTTTCTGAATTCTTGCTCATGAGCTCATGAAGCAAAATGAATTTTTACTTCAAAAATCAAAAACAAGCTCATTATAGAACATGTGTATTCATTGGCCGAATGGCATTTTTTATGTATTTTCAATTAAATGAAAAGTATAAATAATTATTAAAAAATTCAAATATGTACTGCTGTTTAAAAGGTTGGAGTCAGTAAAATTTCATTTTTTTGAAAGGAATGGATACTTTTATTTAACAAGGACACAGTTTCTCAAAATTACTTCTATTTCAGTGCTGTTCTTCAAACTCTGTCTCATCAGAAAATCCTTATAAACACTTCCACACTTTCCACACTTCATTAAGCAGCACAACCATTATCAAATAATAAAAAATAATAATAATAATAATAAATGTTTCTTTAGTATAAAACCAGATTATTTGAATGATTTCTGAAGGATCATATGATACTGAAGACTGGAGTAATGTCTGCTGAAAATTCAGCTTTGCCATCACAGTATAAAAATAGTTATTTTAAATTGTAATACAATTTCACAATATTTCAGTTTTTGATCAAATAAATGCAGCCCTGGTAAGCATAAGAGACTTCTTTCAAAAACATTTTTAAAAAATCTTACCGACCCCAAACTTTTGAACAATGGTTTGTATATTTAACAATGAAAAAATGACATGGAGAAAAAAATGAATTTCTAAATAACATATCAGTTAAAGATGTACTGTATACTGATGTTACATTACAAATTTTATAATAATGTAGCTGAAAGTCAATTACCCTGCCAAGCATAGTGATCCAAAAGCAGCTGAGTGAAAGGAGCAAGGGCAAAGGTCAAACCCATGCCAGAGCGGCCAATAGAATATGCAGTTGCCAGCCTCTTTCGGAAATAAGTCACTGTTACAACAGATGTGGCCTGATAAAGAAGAGCAAACCCGAGACCTGGAAAAAACAAAGTTTTGTGGATTAATTTTTTACTTTTAATATCTATACTTTATTTTTAAAATAAAATGAAACTCACCAACAACTATCCCCATGCTAATGTAAAGGTAGATCACGTTGGTGGCAAATATGCTGGAGATAAAGCCGGCACTGACGAGAAGCGCCCCCACTATGGAGGTAACCCTGTTCCCCAGCTTGGCACAGGCCACCGAAGCCAGCGGACCTAAGGGGTCACAAACAAATCTGGGTTTATGACCTGTCATATTGGATCGAAGATGGTTGCTATGGTGACCGTACCTCCGGAGAGCCTGAGGCTAGACATGATGGATCCAATCCAGCTGATGCTCTCGGACGAGCCTCCAAACTCATCCTGCAGTGCCACAAAGAAGATCCCAAAGCTCTTCAATGTACCCATTACCAACACGTTCACCTGAAAAGACACCAGCAGATTCAACTGATTTCAGCTCAATACCGATCACCTCAATTTTATCATAGCAAAGAATAAAATTAGTGTCTCTAACAGTAAGATTCATGACATACCAGGAAACAGTGCAGAACCACCATCCAACCCCAACCACCATCTGGTGGATCCACATACACAACCTTCTTTTCCTTCTTCATGGCCTTGGCTTTTTGTTCAGAGCAGGAGGTTTTGGCAGCCTTGCCATCACTGAAACATCAAAACATCAACCAGTGAGTGATAAAGTTTCATAAAATTATCATGAGAACATGTAGACAAATATTGTCCCTCTTCATCATCTGAAACATACAACCACTTACAGATGAAAAGACTTCCATGAACACAATAATTAATCAATTATTATTACATCAACAGATTCAATTAAAACAAAGACAAATGTATGAAAAAAAATGATAAAAAAGAATCCAAAAATGGCTAATGTTATACAGTTAATTTTTAATCTAAACTTCTGTTACTCTTTTATCTCCTTTGCCCTTTTTACATTTGGACCCAAATCTGGTGCTATCTGTTAAACATTTTCTAAACCCAGAATGCACTGGACTGTGATGACATCAGTACCATGGGTTATTTTATTTAGAGTGGATCAAATTTAAGTAAACATGAAGATGCCACTGGTTTAAACTGGTTATCAGTATGAGGTCAAATGTTCTGGATTCAGGCCTGAGACCTCTTTATTTACAGCTGAATACAATGTGTGTCTAGTACAGTGTTCAAAATGACACAACGAGACTGAGTGAAAGAATGGTCAAAGGCTAACGGGTTCATTCAAACAAACACCTGGCATGAAGTTAACCGCACGGCGAGCCCCTGTGCAGAGATAGTGGATCGTCTGAAATATTTCACAGAGATAAACGCTTGCTCAACTATAAATACTGAGCAATCAAATTCAGCAGCTCAGGTGGTTCCAGCTGAAAATGTATGTGTGCACATAACAAAGGTACAGAAATATACACTTTTCTTTCTTAAAGGTATAGTTCACTCAAAATATACCCACTCACAATTTACTTACCTTCATTTTTTTTCAAACCTGTATGATTTTCTTTCTTTTGTGGAACACAAAAAAGGAGACATTTAGCATAATTTCTAAACTGCTATTGGATGTACAGTACAGTGAAAGTGGATGGGAACCAAGCTCCAATAAGTACAAAAAGAACCATAGATGCCTCATAGAAGCAGTCCATATAACTTGTGCACTATAGTTCCAAGTCTTTTGGAGACAATAACTGTATGAGAAATGGACTAAACTTGAACACTTTATTCACTGAAGTCATGGTCCATTCATTTTCAGAAGAGTAGCTTGGACATTCTACTAAAAACATCTTCTTTGTGTTCCATATGAGTTTTGAAGTAAATTACAACAAAATGTTCTTTTCTGGGTGCACAATCCCTTTATTTAAAGCCACTGTGGGTCACACTTTAGTTTGGGGACCAATTCTCACTATTAACTATGACTTTTGCCTCAATAAACTCATAATTTGCTTATTATTAATAGTTAGTTAAGGTAGTTGTTAAGTTTAGGTATGGGTTAGGATTAAGGCATCTAAAATATGGTCATGCAGGTCAGCGTTTATGGTCTTGTGGTTAGTGTGCTGACATATGGCACAGCTGTGCTTCCAGCCACCTGAGTTTGATTCCTGACTTGAGGTCCTTTGCTGATCCCGCTCCCCTCTCTCTGCCCTAAGCTTTCCTGTTGACTATCTACTACTGTCCTATCAAAAAATAAATAAATAAATGTGATATATATATATTTATTTATTTTGGGGCTTTTTAAGCCTTTTATTATAATATTGGATGTACTAATATTGGGTGCATTAATATGTGCTGTATAAGTATAAATAAACAGCCAATTTGCTAGTAATATGCATGCTAAGCAACTGAATACTGAGAATTGGTCCCTAAATTAAGTGTTACCCCCATTGTGTGTGTAGAACTTTTAAAGACAGAAACAGGTCTGGAAATTCATAGCCTAATTGATGAAAACACAACCGTCAGACAGAAAATATGTGGTTTGTAAAGCTCTCGTACATAAAGCTCATGAGTTCAAGTAGTTGGCTGCTCCTTCAAGAGAAAACAGACAAGTGGAGAGGCAAAAACTGCTTAGAGGATTACAGAGCAATGAATTGGGCCAGTGTGTTGTAAGTGAAAACATTTCCTTCCATGTGCTTACAGAGGGCCACCCCGGAGTGTATCTGTGAATGTGTGTGTGCTTGCATGCATGCATGTATGCCAGATAACATGTGTGAATGCTTCAGTTCAAGGGTAAGTGCAGGAAGTTGCATTGGAAAGGACTACGGTCCACCTTGTTACTCACCCTGATTTTTTCACTCAAAAGCCTCTTTAAAATCAAGTGCTAATTGCATTTTTACTAATTGCCCTATGCAGCGACTGAGTGAGCAATTTTTTTTGTCACAACCTCAGTGTTTACGTCCTCTGGTATATGTTGTAAAATCATTAGTCCTGCAGAAATTGTCTGGTTACTTTTTGTTTTAAATTTTGGAGCAAAATTAGTATATGGGTGAAAAGGGCCAGCTATAAAAATGTAAAAACATCCACCTTTAAAAAATATTAGATCTCATTATCTTAGGCAGTTAGAGAAAAACAGTTTGAAAAAGACTCACCTGTGTTGCTCTTTTGGCAGCATAGTTGTTGCAGAGGAAAATGAATGACCTTTAAGGTGACAGCTTATTTACTGTGTCATCTTCTGCACTGGAAGCTCAACTTGCAGATCTTGCTTTTGATGAACCTGTTACACAAACTGTTATTACACAAGAATCTCTAATCATTGGGTGTCCAAGGTTTGTGTCTTTCAAATAATTCTCAGAGTTTTCATGTATTGCTGACAGATGCACGATGCAGTTAATCTTACATTCATTGTTAGAGATGTCTGACTGGAAGTAACAAGCCTTCACAACTGCAGTGATTTCAGGTGTGAATAGTCAAAGTACTGCTTTTGCCTCAAACTTTTTTAACAGTTGTTGTGTTGGCATACCTGTGTGGAACTTTACACCCCTGTGACTGTGGGTCCTCTTACCTTGAGTTGGGTTTGTGCAGGGGTTGGCCTTATTAATTAGTTATATAACCTCAATTCAACTGAGAATTGCATATAAATCTATAAATCTCATTCATTGATGAATCTGCAAATGCAGTCCTGTTATAGTGACATTACATCCAGTGGAAGGAAATCCCCTGACCTCTCCATTGATTCACTGTAATGTTTTCTAACCACATTCACAGAAGTAGCCTACATTTCCACACATTGCCTCCCCGTGTCCTCACATCAAACATTTAGTCTGCAAAACAAGCTCAACTTTTCAATATGAAACATACTAGTTTAACAAGATTAAGTAGGCATAGCCTAAGAAGATTAACTTCGTAAGAGCATGTACGAACTTTGGGGTAAAGTGTCCTCATGAAGGCTATACATTTATAATCCAGTGTCACTCTTTAGCCTACATTCCCATAAATAATAACCTCGTGAGTCCTAAATTTTATTTAAACAAAAGTTTGTAAAACTTGCACCCTTCAAAGATTCACACCGGGGACGCACCGTTCAGGACATCCCACACAGAATACAACGTTATCTTTCCTCCCCAAGTCCCCATCCTCAACTCAACCATCCTGTAGCCTACGGCAACTAGCCGTGCCGTTGTGTAGTTAAACCTCTAAAACTGTAGGCTTAGCTCATAATCCTATATACTATGAGAAAAAACAGTGGCGAAAATCACGAGGATGTTACCTCAAACGCCAGAGAGCCGATGCTGTCGCGAGCTGTCCGACTCCGCAGCCGCATAGCGCTCGTGTGTGGATCGCGCGAGCCCAGCGGCGTTCATGTGAATGCGCGCTACTGGAGAAGTGCAGTACTTTACACCTATCGATAACAGTCGATAGAAAAACTACCTTCAGCATCAAAAAACCTCCGGCATCATATGACAAATGCTTTATGTTCCGATAAAACATTCGGGTTTTATTTTCCTGTAAGTGAAGTACATTTAAATATAAATAAACAATAATAATAAAAAAGTTTATGGCATTTATTAGCTACCTGTCGTTTATACGCATTCGTATTAGATTGTTGCATATCAGTTCATTTAAATAAATTAAATAATACACTAAAATATCGTAGGCCTATTTAGCTACCTTACGATTCAGCTTTTACATTTTAAAAGTAGGTAAATAAAATGATTAAGAACCATAAAATTATATTTTATTTTAGATAATTAACTACTCTATGAACACGGAAATCTCTCTAAAAAAAAAAAAACTAGGCCTACTACCCTTAGGGGAGAG